CGCCTGTGACCGCCCGCAACCACCCCCCGCGACCCGGCTGTAGGCGCGGCGACGACCAGTGCGCCCCGGCCAGCCGAGCTCCCGCTACCCGGCAAGCGCTCTGCACCCAGGTAGGTGCAGCCGGCGCCCCGGCCCGCTTTGTCCCGGCCGGCAAGGAGGCGCGCTTTGTGCGGCCGCATGCAGGCGGTGGGGTCGGTCCTGGGGACCCCAGGAGGGAGGATGCGACGCCGAGTACCCGGGTTCTGTGCGGGCCAGCCAGGTACCACTGAAGACCGTGGGGGACGAGGCTTGGGGTACGCAGACCTCTATGGAGCGCAGAGAAGAGTCTGGAAGAGTTGGGCTGACAGACGCGCTGATGGATCGGGGTCGCCTGGGCTCGGAGCGCGTCTGGCAGCGCAGGCGTTTCGTGGTGCGGCGGTTCCTGCGGTGGACCGGCCGGCGCCGGTCGTGGGACTGGGGACGCGCTAGGGTCTGTCCGGGGCCTGTGAATACACAGCTTTCTCCAGCTCCGCAGCTTGTTGGCAGCTGGTTATGGGGCTTCTCCTCACCTCTGTGATAGCTAGCTCCATGCTGCCCTTTAGGTCTCGCATTGGTATGAGAGGTGGACACGGTTTGGTGGAGATGACTGTAGCTGCTAGAGAGGATGAAACCTCTTCAGTTTGTGAGGAAGCGTTGTGTAAGGTGTTTCTGGGGCTCTGTACATTTACAGGGCTGTGGAGTCTGCCTATCATACAACTACCCAGCAAGGCTGCCTGGCTGGGGCTCCAGTTCTACCATCCATTTCCACCCATCCACTCTGGCTCCAGCCTACTGCACCCCAGTATCCCCATGACACTGCATGCTTGTCTGAGATGCAGGGTTGCCCTGTCCTAACAAGATTTCTCCGTGGGCTGTTTCTCAGCTGCCGCCCCCCATTACAATTCCAGTTTTGAGAGCCTGGGTTTGTAGGCATTGTCAGTCAGTATCCACAGCCCGGTTTCTCTTGAGGGTGAAGAGAGCAGAGTGAGTTCCATATGTGGACGTGTGTATCTCAGCTTGAGCCTGGGGCAGCCAACCTCTTGGCATGTTGAGAAGAGCCCAGGATCAATGGTTAAGGAGGAGCTAAGACGGAGCTTAGGCTTTTCTGGTAAAGAAACTGATGTAAGCTCAAGCTTAGGGGCGGGGTGGTAAGGGAGGGGAAATGAGGCTGAATAATTGTGCCCCGGGTGGAGGATTTTTTGTTTATTTAGGTTTTAGACCAGGTAATCTTCCTGGCAGTTTCTTGGGTACAGGGGTCACAGGTGTGCAGCACCATGCTCAGCATAAACAGCAGATTCTGAAGGAGAAAATGAAAAATCCATGCATCTTCCCTAAATCTGTCACAGCAGAGTCCCGAGCTTTATCAGGAACACGGCCTAGGAGACAGGTTGGGCCTTATTTTTCCTTCTCCTCGTCTCTGCCCTGGAGCATCTTTCTCTGGCTTTCTTGAGCACCTGAATTTCACCGTGACTCTTTCCCTTTTCTCTCCCTGCCAATCAATCCCTTCATACTTTGAGTCGATGGGATTTTTACTTCGCTCAGTCCCTCCCTGTCTGTCCTAATGTGTTATTCACCCTCTGGTCATGGCTCTTCAGCCCTGCCCTCCTTCCTCTCAGTATCAATTCGGTTTGATTAGCTCTAGAACCCACTTCATCTCCATTTTTGCTGTCATGGCCTGGGGCTCTGGCTCCTGTTCTGAGAGGGAGGAGGTATTTAGTTGAGCCTCGGAAAAGGCCTGCACATGGTTAGAAGTCATCTGCAGTCACACTCACCCCTGGAACTTTCTGCCTTCTCAGTCCTCAGAGCTTCCCTAAGTAGTTCCAGCTGCTTGCTTGGACAGTGGCCCTCTGAGTATGCGCCTTTCATGAGCATCTTTTGAGCCACCTGGGAATGAGTTAAATATGCAAAATCCCAGGCTCATTCCAGATCTGCCAAACCAGAAATGGGGTGTGGAGGGAAGCAGTGATCTGTTTCCGTGGCCCAGCACTCAGGTCATGTGACTTGTGTTTGCGACTCCCCTGTCCGATGCTTAGCCCTGAAAGTCGTCCCCCCCCCCCGTTCCCCCCGCCCCCGCAGAGAACAGGGCTCTCCTCCCATTGCCACTCTTCCCACGAGCGTTTTCTTCATCCCCAAGACTTTGATCCAATGACCAGAATAAGAACGACAGTGAATCGATGTGGTATCTCTTTATTAACTACCTATTCTGCTGGGCCCAGAAAGAAAGGAGAGAGAGAGAGAGAGAGAGAGAGAGAGAGAGAGAGAGAGAGAGAGAGAGAGACCCCTTTTCTCAAGGAGTTAAAAGTGGAACAAGCAGAGAACATAACAACTAACAGTCATAAATGTGATAAGCACACTAAAGCTGCATTCAGAGTGCTGAATGAAGCAGGAGGAGGAAGGATCACGCTCTAAGGGAGGTAAAGAATTAATCTGGAGCAGGATGTCATGAGGGGGGAACTAGAGGACAAGGCAAGGCAGGAAATAGGGTTTCTGGTTTTTCGAACCAGTGCCAGTGGAGGAAAGTGAGGGAGGGCCCAGCTGCCTGCAGGACCAACCATGGCTAAGCAGAGTCTGTCCTGCAGTACTTGGGTGGGCAGGGGTTCTAGCAAGACCTCTAGCCTGAAGCTAGTGGGAGGTAACACTGTTCTGACGCTAACCACCACGGAAGCCTCTTGGGCCTGGCTGAGGCCAGTGGCTAAGGCTGAGGGAGTGCAGGACTGTAATCTGGATGGATGGGGGCACCTCCCTTCTGCCAGAGTTCGGGAATCCTTGGAGGAGAATAAAATTGAGGATTCTCCATTGAAGGAGAAAGACAGTCACATGGCTGGGGGTTTGCTAGAAGGTCTGAGCATGGAGACCCGGGTCATATGTAAGGGATGACCTGGGTAGGGGAATCTCAAGCAGAAACCGTAAGGCTCTGGAGCTGGCAGCTGTTGGAACACAGAAAACATATTGTACAAGATGATGGGGGGTCCAGAGCTAGAATGCTTGGAAATGACTGTCAGGGCACAGAGTGGGGTTTGTTCCTGTAAAAGGAAATGGTGTTCCTTTTATTACAACAAACTCATGAGGGGGAAACTGGGAGTCATACGGGGGTGCTTTTGCTGGATGGTCTGTGGAGAGATTGTTTGGGTTCTAACACCCTTCCTTCAGCTGAACTGAGAGCAGCTGCTGGTTAGGAGATTTTAATTCCAAACACAGAGTAGGGCCAAGGCCAATGCTTCTGAGTCAGACTCTGTTTTCTTGTTCAGAACCAAAAGTGTTAGGGGACTGGATCAGGTCGTGCCTGGTTTACAGTGTCCTTTGCTCAGGGTGATTCAACTCTGCCCTACAATTTAGTTTTATATAAATATTTACAGAGCAAATCCAGAGACTCTGTTGGTGGGAAATGATGGGAAAGAAGTCCTAGGCCTAGTGGAAAGCAAAACTCCTTGCCCATCTATAGGGTAATGAAGGGCCAAATCTAGGAACTGGAGACCTCTATTCTTCACAACTTGGCCTAGTTAGCTTTAACTGTCAATGTGAAAAAGCCTAGAGCCATAGGCTGAGTGCAAAGTCTCCTCTAACGAATTGTCTAGAGGAGATTGGCCTGTGGGCATGTCTGTGGGGGACTGTCTGGATTGTTCATTGATGTAAGAGGCTCCAGTCCACTAAGGGCGGCACCATTCCCTGAGCAGGTGGTCCTGGGATGTATTTATTCAAAAAAAAAAAAGCCGACTAAGCATGTTCCTGAAAGGAAGCCAGCGAGCAGGGCGTTCTTCTGTGGTTTCTGCTTCTCCTGCTTGGGTTGCTGCCCTGACTTCCCTCAGTGATGGACTGTGTGCGACTTGAAAGTATAAGCCAAATAAATCCTCAGAGCGTTCTATAACAGTAACTTAAAGGAAAGTAGAACACACCTTCTTCATGTTACTCCCAGGAAAATACTGGTGCAGCCCTGCCCTTGAAGAGGGACATGTTCAGCTCTTTGGAACCAGCTAATGATAGTAGCTACATTCTGCCTTTGTGTGCCCATGTGAACACACGATCCTTCCCACCTTTCACCACCTAGCCTTCCCCAAACCTTACCTCCTTCCTTCCCAGATCAGGTTTTTTTTTTTTTTTTTTTTCTGAGACAAGGTTTCTCTGTGTAACAGCCTTGGCTGTCCTGGAACTCACTTTGTAGACCAGGCTGGCCTCGAACTCACAGAGATCCACCTGTTTTAGCCTTCTGAGTACTGGGATTAAAGGCTTGTGCTACCACCACCCAGATGGAGTAGTTCATGACTTTAAACTGTCTTGTGTTGAAGAGATATCAGGAAAATGAAAAACTGGAATTTAGTGTTCTATTAAAGTTATAATTCTCTACCACCTATTCCCTTGAGTGGCTAGTAAATGTTGTTTTCCATCAGAACTTTGGACCTTACAGACTTTCAAAAAAAAATTCCCAGCAGCTAATCTGAAGCTCATTTGAGGACAGAGTGTGTTTGCTTAAGTTAAGGTCATAAATAGTATTGGCAAGTGTACATGGTCCAGATACCATAGTCTAGGCCATGGAAGGCTGGGATGAGTGATGATCCCTCAGGGCACTGCTGAAGGGCCCCAGGATGGTCAGGAGATGTTAATGTTCGCTGTACCAGAAGCTGTGATGAAGAGATAGAGGGCTGGAAAAATGGCTCAGTGGTTAAAAAGCAGTGGTATTTCTTTCAGAGGACCCAGGTTCAATTCCCAGCAACCACACGGCTTACAACTATCTGTAACTCCAATTCCAGGGAATTCAGAATCCTTTTCTGCCCTCTCTGGGTACCAGGCAAACATATGGTGCCCATATATACAGGCATCAAAACATCCATAGCCATAAAACAAAATTTTAAAAGCCTTTTTCAAGACAGAGTTTCTCCGAGTAGCCTTGGCTGTCCTGGAACTTGCTCTGTAGACCAGGCTGGCCTTTAACTCACAGAGATCCTCCTGCCTCTGCCTCCTAAGTGCTGGGCCTGGCATTTTTGTTGTTGTTTTTTGAGTAGGGGGCAAGATCCTCTTTTTTTTGTTTTTGTTTTTGTTTTTCAAGAGAGAGTTACTCTGTATAGTTTTGGTGCCTGTCCTGGATCTTGCTCTGTAGACCAGGCTGGCTTTGAACTCACAGAGATCCGCCTGGCTCGGCCTCCCGAGTACTGGGATCAAAGGTGTGCATCACCACCGCCTGACTAAGATCCTCTTTTTAAAAAGTAAGAAAGAACCTTGCTTCAAAAGCTAGTACTTGCCTGGCAGTGGTGGCGCACACCTTTGATCCCAGCACTCGGGAGGCAGAGCCAGGTGGATCTCTGAGTTCGAGGCCAGCCTGGTCTACAGAGTGAGTTCCAGGACAGCCAAGACTGTTACACAGAGAAACCCTGCCTGGAAAAAAAAAGAAAAAGAAAAAGGGAAAGAAAAACACAAACTAAAAGAAGAAAGGTATGATGAGTGACAGGCTCAGCATCCTCAAGGCGCCTTTCACAAGCCACGTCTTCTTGTAGGAACAGGAAGCCACCCACCACCATGAGCAGCACTCTGTCACCCACAGACTTCGACAGCTTGGAGATCCAGGGCCAGTATAGTGACATCAACAACCGCTGGGACCTGCCCGACTCAGATTGGGACAATGACAGCAGCTCAGCCCGCCTCTTTGAGAGGTCCAGAATTAAGGCCCTGGCAGGTAAGGAGGGGGGGAGGGGCAGGGAGGTGATGAGATTGGTGGAGTGGGTCTATGAGCTTCGAAGGGAGAATCTTCTGTCTTCATGGGAAGACTGACTTCATTTTCTAAGCTGCTGCTCTGATACAGACCCCCTGGTCCCCAAATCCAACTTCAAGGTCAAACTCCCTGCACTGTAGAGCATCCCTCAGCTTCCTTCTCCCCTGGCCTAGAGATGCCACCCACATTACCCTGGACGTGCCCAGCTGCGTGGATGAGCTTACTTCCCGACTGACCGAGTCAGGTGTCCGTCCCTACCGTACTTTGCCTTTCTACTTTACATTTCTGTCCCCACCCGCCTCTCCCCACCTTCCCTCCCAAAGTGCCATCCCTTTTCTACTGTCATTTCCCACACCCGTTCCGTCCCGTCCGGCCCTATTATCTTCCCGGCACTCTCTCCACCTGTCCTTCCTGCTGCCTGTTACTCCTATTATTTTAGTTACCTGTTCCCCGAAGCAGTTCTCTCAGCAGCCCTCCCATGCTCCCGGGGTTTGCTCTCCACCCACCCCACCTCCGCCCCTGCCTTCCCCTATGGCCAGGGCTCTCCCCTTGGCTGTGCTGGGCACAAACAAACCAGTCTGACAGGCCTCCTGCGTTTGTGGGGTGGTGGTGGTGGTGGTGGTGGTCATGGCAACAGGAGGGCAGCTGCCACCTGACACCACCAGCCAGTGGCTGTTTGGGGATTGAGTCACCCACACACCCTAAGGCCGCCCACCCAATCTGCCTTCCACGTTCATCCCACCCTCTTCATAGCTACTGACCTACCCATGGCCTAGCCAGTTCCAGTATGAGACATTACTTCCACTTAAGGAGTGATCACCCGCCCGGTGGGCTGGAAGAGATCTGGAGGCCTTGATGGGTTTTACAAACACAGGTTCTCAAGAAAGATGAAGTTCAGAACCTTTACACATATAGTTCAGAACTCAGGACCTTTAAAAGCTTGCCCAGGAAATTAGACTCGGCCAGTCCAGCACCAGATAAGGGCTACAGCTCGTGGGGTCCATGGGTCACTTTCTCCTGGCATCTTACTGGCTGGGACTGAAGAATTGGCTGATGAAATACTCATATTGGTACTTCAGTAGTTCAGGGAAGACAGGAAATGTGGGGTATGGAAAACGTCACCTCTTTGGGGAAGCGGGCCTGGTTCCCTGGTTTTAGATTTGTGAATCCTCTGGTACTATCATTGATGTCATTGTGCACATGCTACCCAAAACTCTCCTGATACCTGCCATTATACATACCTCCCAGAACTGCCACTGTGTCTGTACAGGTCACATGCCAACCAATGTGACTGATCATTCTATCTATGTGCACATGCTACATGCTACCCAGTCCATTTTCCAGGCCTAGCTCATATGACAGGTGCTACTCAGAGTTCTCATTGTGTCTGTAAGCATGACACATAGTACTGCTACCATGTCTGAGCATTTGACACATACTTCCCAATATCAAACTCTGCACACAAGACCTGTGCCGATCAGGACAGCCACCGTGTGCACGCACGCACACAGCACCCAGTGCTCTCCTGGAGTGTTTGTCCCCCCGCTCGAGGCTGGGCTCCCCTGAGGCGGCATCTCTGAATGGGCTTTGCCTTGCACAGTGCCACTCACTCAGTAGGTGCCAAAGAAATCCTGAATGATTAGAGATGAGGAGGAACAAGTGTAGGCGCCAGTGACAGAAGCCGAGGGCCAGGAAGAGGTAGGAGGGGCGTCGATAGCTGTGCCCAGTCCTGGGGTTGGGGGCTGGCGAGGTGACTGGGGAGCCTGGTGGGCAAAGGAAACAGGCTGGTACTGGAGGGCAGTCACAATACTTACTCCCCAGAGGAGGCCACAGAAGTCAGCACACCTGGCTTCTCTTCCAGGATCTCCAGTGCTTCTCTGCTCTCAGGGCTGAGATCAAAGTTCAGATGTCCTGAAACAAGCCCACCCAGGGACGCCCAGAGAGGTCTGCTCCCCGCAGACCTTCTGAAAGCCGGGGTTTGCTTTGGGGCCCCTCTGGCAGGTTTTCCCTAGTCTTGGGCAACTAGTGGCCTGCCGAGCAAGTCTCTGGGTGCTGGCAACACCCTCCTCCGCCCCTGCAGGGCCTGGCCAAGCCCCAACTGGCTCCGCCTCCTGAGCAGCCTGCCCCTCCCCCGCCACTGTCCGACCTGTTTGTCTGGAGTTGCCTCTGCCTCCTCTCCCACAACCAGGTGTGCCCTAGTCACTGTCTCAAGCTCAGGCATCCCACAACTTTCTCCCCACTCCTTGAAACTCCCAGCATCCTGGAAACAACTCCACCCAACCAGGTACAGAAGCCTTTTTTTGGACTCCCCCAGCACAGGCTCGGGGGACACACACTCTTGGCCCTGCCCTGGCAGGGAGCATGGACTCTGGGCCCCAGGCTGAGTAGGAGGCAGCAGGCACCATGACTGCGAACGGAGTGGGCAGGGTACATGGAAATGGCCTGAACGGGGCTGGTGAGTTTTACTATGAGGCTCTGGAGGGGTCCCAGAACCCTGGGGGCGTCCTGCTCTCACCAGCTGCCTTCATCAATCCTGCTCAGTATGCCAGTGTGCTGGAAGGACGCTTCAAACAGCTTCAAGGTGAGTTTCCCTGGGCACAGGGGAGCCTGCTGTGCCAAAGGGGACCTGGGATAGGAAGAGCTGGCATGCCCAGAGCCCCATGCCTAACACTTCCTGTGACTCAGTGTTTATGTTGAGGGACAACGTGGTGAAACTTAGGGGAAATCATTGCAAATAGCCAGAGAATCCAGGCATGAGGACAACTGGAATCCCACTGAATGAGACGGGGGTGGAGGGGGTGGGGAGTTGGGGGTAGGGAATGAGGTGGGTGGGAGGTGGGGGGTGGCACGAGGGGTGTGACCTTGAGGTGCCCTGATGGGTGCAAAGGCGCTGAGGATGGAGGAGCTTTTGGGTTCTTGTCATCAGCTAGAGAGGCCATAGCAGTCTCCCCTGGTGGCCCGTGGCTCACCCCCGTGGTTTGGCCATGCTGGCCTTGTTAAGGAAGGAGAGAAGCGTGGGCTAGAGGCCTAGGACCTAGAGCTTTTATGTGTTTTCCTGAGTGGCTGTGAAGGGAGGCTATGTAGAAAGTGGAGAGCGTGTGTCAAAGGGGGTTTGTACACACAGGTCTCAGACCTCTGAACTGGAATGTTCGTCTTGGCACAAATAAGTTTATTTCATGGCATGTGTGTTTAGGGATGTTGTGGGTGTCTTGTGATGCTACACTTTGGTGCCTGGCTTTACCAGATCTTTCTAGGTACTGTTTCCACTTTTAGTCTGCCTGTGTGCCCCACGCCAGCATGCCTGGTATCAGGGAGGTCTCCCTGGATTCAGTAATTGCCAGATGACTTAATCTGTCCTCAACTCACATAGGGCCTGGAACCCTAAAAGAGGCCCAGAGTCGCCATAGGCAGCACAAGTGCTAAGGGGTATCCCACATGGTGATTAGGACCCCCGGTTTGGTGATTAGGACCCCGGGTTTGGCATAGGCACAGGAATTGGAGGTGAGAAAGTCGGGAATAGCCTTGGGTGTGTGGCTGTTTTATCGGGGAGGGGCATAGGAATGTGAAATTAAGGGATGAGTCTAAATTTCTGAGGTGCTGGTGCTGAGATGGAGGTAAATATGACACGGCACACTTACCACTTGGGCTGGGTCCCCACAGGGGCTTTCTAAGGGCAACTGGCAGGAATCCTGACCTCCAAAGTAGTTGACAGGACAGAGCTTACTCCGTCCCTTTCCATTTACAAAGTCTGTAATCATCAGCTTCCTGTGCAGCCTGACAGCATCCCTTGTCAGGAGCTCCCCCTGGGGACTGGGCTGCCAGGCCTCACTTGAAGGTCGGCGCTCAACTCCACCTGCATTGCTCCCTTGAACTTGCAAGTTCTTAGTTTTGTTTGTTTGTGTTTGAGACAGGGTCTCACTGTCTGGTGAGATCCACCCTGGCTGGTCTGGAATTCACAGAGATTGGCCTGCCTCTGCCTCCCAAGATTAAAGGCCTGCACCACCATGCCCGATTTATTCTTATAATTAATTTCTTATAAATTATTTCTGAGTCTTGAGGCAATAGTGTCCTAGGTCTGGACCCTCTACAGCCAACTGTGCAGGCCTGCCTCAGAGTAGAGTAGCCTACCTTTTCCGTACATGACCCGGAGCAGGGAGCTGCCTTAAAAGCCCACACAGCCTCTCCACTGGGAGTCCAGGTGCTGACCATCTGGGAGGTCTGCCCTATTTAGAGGCCACACCTTCTCCCTTGTCCACATCTGAAGGAGAAGGAGGGCCTGCCTTTATCAAAGCTCCCCAACAGGGAGCCACATCCTACTGGACAACCACTAGATGTATCATACCCAGTATCTCATTTAATTGCTATAGTGACCCAATAAAATAGGAATATGCTCGTCCTACAAGTGGAGAAACTGAGGCATTGAGTAAGTTGTCCGGTATTTCATCACTGTTAGAGCATGAAGCCTAACCCCAGCCCCTCTCTGGGCAGCTTCTTCTCTCCTTTCTTCTTGAGACCTTTTTTGTCTGTCTTGCTTTTCTTTTTTTTTTGTTTGTTTGGTTCCCCCCCCCCCACACACACACACACAGGGTTTCTTTGTGTAGCCTGGCTGTCCTGGAACTCTCTGTAGACCAGGCTGGTCTCGAACCTGAGATTAAAGGTGTGAGCCACTGTGCCCGGCTTTATCTTGCTCTTCTTATCCTTTCCTTGGCTCACGAGCTCATCCCAGCCTCTTCATTTCTTAGCTGTTTAGATTATTGTTTGTTCTGTTGGTCATCCCTAACCCTGCCCGATCCCAGCTGTCACTTAGACTCTCTCAGGCATCCCATCCCACACATGCCTGTTAGTGCTTAGAAGCAAGCACACTGTCCTTGCGGGACAGGAATGACTCCTTGTCACCACTGCAGATGAGCGAGAAGCCGTGCAGAAGAAAACCTTCACCAAGTGGGTGAACTCCCACCTGGCCCGGGTGACATGCCGGGTGGGAGACCTGTATAGCGACCTGCGGGACGGGCGCAACCTCCTGAGGCTCCTGGAGGTGCTCTCGGGAGAGACCCTGGTGAGTTGGGACAGTGGGCAGAGGGAGCCTCAGAGACTGGCCAAGGGGACAAACCACAGGGGGTGCCATAAAGAGCTGAGCAAAATACCATGGCTCCTCTGCCTGGAGGATGGTCTCATTCCCAGGGGCTTTGCTACATGGATTACATGGGAGCCATGCTTTGCAGAGACAGGAACAGTGGCCCCATTGAAAACATTTCTTCTCCCATCCACTCTGGGTGCAGTTAATTCCCTTGGGAATCTTAATCTGCACAAGCCGCATCTGTAACCTTGCTTGGGCTCCTGACCTCTGGCCTGGCCCTAGGGCTGTCCCTGTGTTCCCAAAGGAGATCATGGGAGGTTATGGGGCAGGTTGCTAAGAAAGCTAGGAAGAAAGCAAGATGTGGTCCCATGTCACTGTACCCTTCATCCACCCATAGCCAAAGCCCACAAAGGGCCGGATGCGGATCCACTGCCTGGAGAATGTGGATAAAGCCCTGCAGTTCCTGAAGGAGCAGAAAGTACACCTGGAAAACATGGGCTCCCATGACATTGTGGATGGAAACCACCGTCTGACCCTTGGGCTGGTGTGGACCATCATCCTTCGATTCCAGGTATCCTCCAGGTGTTAGCTAAGGTGTGAGCTGTACACCAACCAAACTATATCCTCACACTGTTACTGATGGTCTGTGACAAGATAAATACAAAAATTGAGGGGCTGGAGAGATGGTCCAGGAGTTAAAAGCACTGTAATGGATGTTCTTCCAGAGGACCTGGGTTCAATTCCCAGCACCCACATGCAGCTCACAATCACTTATGACTCAAGTTCTAGGGTATTTGATGCCCTCTTCTGGCCTCTGAGAGCACCAGGGACACACATGGTGCACAGACAGACACACAGGCAAAACACCCACACACATAACAAAATAATAATAAGTAAGTTTACAAACGGAGCATAGAACTTTCTAGAGCAGCTTGCCATTGAAGCGTATCCGTGCAGGTGACGGGGGTGTCTTGTCACTTTCCCTGTTGTACTCTATCTCGGTGTCATCTCAGCTCCTCTAATTGTGCCTGTCATTCTTCAGTTCACCTCTCCCTCTTTCAGCTCTGTCTTTGAAAGTCAGCTCTCAGGAAACATTCATTCCCCTGCTCGTACTCTCCACACGGAAGAACCAGCCCCGTCCCTCGTAGGCACTTCCCCTCCACTGACGTCCTTTGTCCAATCCCCCGAACCTGTGTCACTAGCCTAGGAAAGAAGAGCTCGCTCAGGTTCTGTCCCATCACACAACGTTCCTAAAAATCAGTTTCTGTGATTTTCTCTGAGTGTCTCTGGTATCACCAAGACACCACTGGGATTTTCTCTGAGTGTCTCTGGTATCACCAAGACACCACTGGGATTTTCTCTGAGTGTCTCTGGTATCACCAAGACACCACTGGGGGGTTGCACTCTGTTTGCTCCTTTCTCAGATCCAAGACATCAGTGTGGAGACAGAGGACAACAAGGAGAAGAAGTCAGCCAAGGACGCTCTGCTGCTGTGGTGCCAGATGAAGACCGCAGGGTGAGGGGGCCCGGGAGCATGGCTGTCGGGGTCGGCCGCACTGGGATGGACTCTCGGGTCCACAACCTGCCCATTGTCCTCGCAGACCAGGGCTCTGAAGTGCTCACCGGTTTTTCCTGGTCTTTCTGTACAGGTATCCCAATGTCAACGTGCACAACTTTACCACCAGTTGGAGAGATGGGCTGGCCTTTAACGCCATTGTTCACAAACACCGGTGAGAAGACGGTTGGATGGACACAGGAGTGGATGACCCAGGAGAGTGGCTGAGCTAGATAGAGTGTAGCTATAGAGGGGAAATGAAGGGGATCCCAGGCTTGGGAGGCAGAAGCAGAATAGCAAATTCAAGGCCAGTCTGGTCTCAAAGTGAGTTCCAAGCCAGTCAAGGCTACATAAGAAGAGACCCTGTCTCAAAAAGAGGGAAGGAAAAAAGACTG